CTGGCATATCCAATATATTACAGAAAAGTAGCAGTGTGAAGTTTATAGCAAGACCCAGTGGGAGAATCACAATGCAAGCTATTGAAATTCTGGAGTAAGAACATACCAGCTGTAGCAGAGAATTGTACGCCTTATGAAAAACAGCTGCTAGTGTGCTACTGGGCCATGGTGAAGATGGAAAACTTGACCAGGGGACACCAAGTGACTATGCATTTGGAACTGTCCATCATTGGCTGGATTCTGCCAGACACATCAAGTCATAAAGTCAGATGAGCCCAGCACCAATCCATCATAAGATGGAAATGTTACATCTGGGATCAAGCATAAGTGGGATCAGAGGACACACGCAATCTGCATGAGCAGGCGACCAAGAACCCCATGGTACCCAGTACAGCTGCACCAGCATTCTTCACTTAGCTCATACCTATGGCCACAGTGGAACATAGGGCGAGGTGTCGGAGGGTCCTGCTGAGGCAGGTGGAAAAAGCCCAAGTTTCATTTATGGGTGGTTTATGGGTGGGTATGGCTATTCTCAGAGGTGACTTTGAAAGGGAGTTGCAAGGGAAATCTTCCCAATGGGCAGATATTAAAGTGATCGCCCATTTTGTGTGGAAGAAGTGGCTCAAAGTGCGAATATGCACTCATGGGCAGTGGCAAATGGCTTGGCCAGTTGGTCAGTGTCTTGAAGGGAAAAAGACTGGAAGATTGGATACAACAATGTCTGGAGTAGAGGTATATGGATGGATATAGGGGAAGGAGGACAAAGTATGAAGATCTTTGCTTCACGTGTCAATGCCCACTAAAAAGCATCCATGATGGGAGAGACACTGAACATCCAAATAGACAAAATGACTTGGCTGGTTGATGTCAGCCAGCTACTGACCAGCTCAAAACTGACACAATGAGCACATGAATAGAGTAGCCAGAGTGGCAGAGATGGAGGCTAAGCAAGGGCCCAATAGCATGGACTCCCACCTACCAAGGCTGATGTAGCTACTGCTATCTCTGAATCTTCAACTAAACATTGGCAGAGACCAACACTGAGCTCCCAATGTGGCATTATTTCTCCAGGAGACTAACTGGCCACTTGATAGTAAGTTGACAACATTGGGGTTCTTCCTCCTGGAAGGGCCAGTGATTTGTTGTCATGTGAACAGACTTACCTCCTCTGGGTAAGGATTTGACTCTCCTGCCCTCAAAGCCTCACTCAGCCTCACTCCGCCTCACTCCCTCGGGACTTACAAAGGTGCGTGATACTTGCAGGCTGCTCTGACCAGGCAGGTTCCTCCAGTAAAGTGGATTTCAATTCCAAGCTGTCTTGCCACAACTCTGTAATCACAATCTTGAAGGTAAATAATTTTTTTGCTTATACAATCCAACGAACACAATAACCAGGACTTGTCCATTATAGTTTTACTAGTGGAACCAGCTAGAGGCCACTATAACATACAAGGCAGAAAATGATAGCTTAGACCTAAGATGGTAGTGGTGGGGTACAGAGAAGGGGAAGAGGTCACAAGGAAATTATTTCTCCTGTATGCTGGTGTATTACTTAGGCTTCTAGAAATGACAGCAATCAAAATGTGCTAGTTTAAATGGAAAAGTGCTATTCATTACGAGGACACAGGGTGATTCATGGGACCTAAGGGCTGTGGCAGGCAGCTGTGTCTCAGGCAGCTTTGGGAACCCGGGCCTAGAAAGCCCCTGGGTTGCTCTCTCAACTCATGTGCATTATCTGCAGATGGAAGAGACTCATTACAAAGCTCCTAAGCTTTAGGTCCATTTACCTAGAGAAAGACTAATTTTTGTCCAAAGACAAATCTCCACAGGGGAGACTCTGATGGCCCAGCGTGGATCAAGTGCCCATTGTTGCTAAGATATGGATGACTGTGAGAAGTTCCCATAAAAAGGAGAGGTGGATGGACAGCCCTGCAGTTGTCCACTACTCCAAGGGCCTCACAGACTAGTTCTATGCATTCATCTCTGGCATAGCTAACATGAGGCAACAAACAATTTCAGAGCTAAGTTATTTGGGAGAACTCTGTTTCAGGAGTGTTAGCTGAAACTGTTGGGTTGCAGTTCACACAACCCCTGCAGGCATTTAGGACCTATCCCTGGTTAAGTTTTCCTGTGTGTTTAGACTTGAGTATTAAAAAAGGACAAAACAAACAAAAAGAAACAAAAACAAGCCTACGTTTTAGACCACAAAACCTACATCTATTAGCTTTAAATAATTTCTGCCTTTCGAGAAATGGGCTGGTCCAGACCCTGTTTCACGGCTCTCAAGTCCTTCACTCCAGCTCAGTCCTTCTGTTAACCCAGGAGGCTTCTCAGGAAATGTGGCCATTTAATGGTTTTTAGCGCAAATTCCAGTAGTTACATTACAGTATCTTCCAAATTAATATCCAACATTTACTTAGCGCTTACTCTGCCAGGCATGGCTCTAACTTTACCCGTATTAAACTCATTCAATCTACAAAACTCTATGGGATAGGTAGTATCATTAAGCACATTTCATTATAACGTCTCTCTCACATAGCGAGAAAATGGTGCACCAGAAGAGCCAAAGAGGTGCCATCCCTGGCTTGACCAGTTTGTTTTAAAACAATTACATTTGGCTGTTGAAAGATAGGTTTGTTTCACTTTATTCCCTCACTTCTAAAGTCAAGACCCATCCATTTGGTTTATAGGGCTCTTACTATTTAGATAGAACTGTGTACATCATAACCAAGATGTTTTCTTCTTTACCTACAGTTATCCCTCAGGTTCAGAACAGTGGTAAGTACAGCTCGTGACACCTCCATGAGAAACAAACAAGGATGGTGGAAATATTGTGACTGGCAGTGTAGCACAGCATAATATTTGACTTAGACTTAAAATGCTTTACAGGTGTTTGAGGAACTTAACAGGGAGCAGCCCATTCACATTTTGAAACTTTCAGTAAAATTGTTTCTTTTGAAGGTAACACTTTTCAGTCCCCCCAATCCTTCTTTTACTGAAGAAACAACCAAATGCAAAAGAACAATAAATTTACAACCTGCTTCCAGCCATTAACATTCTAAATTCTAGAATGACTGACGCTGGAACTTGTTAATCAAGAAAAGCTGATATCCAAGAACCTCTTCTCCACTCCTTAGCTTTATAGGGCACTTTGCTTTCCTATGATATTTACCAGTTTGATTCTTTAAATAATGCTGGGACACGGGCTGAGTATTATCCTTTCCCAGATTTTGATAATGAGAAGACAAGCTTAGAGAGGTTGGGGTAATTTGCCTGATGAAAAATCTAAAACAGGGGCAGTCACTTGTTTTAACTTGAGTCTACAATGTTTGCTGAATAAATGACAATGGCTAAACCTTAGTGAGCTCTTAAGAGTAACTCAGAGTTAACTCTTGAGCTTTAAATCACATTATCTGGCCCTAAAGGTGAAAACTTTCAGGAAGGGCTCTATCCACTAAACCAGTTTCCTACATTGGAGATCTCAAACTGGTGAAATATCAGAAAAATTCCGGGAACTTTTTATTTTGTCAAGAGCATACTAACAGGTTTATCATTTATCATCTGTTTATTATCACTATAAAGCCATAAGACAACATTTTGCAAGGAAATGGAAAATTTCATCCTAATGAGAAAATTCGTACTAATGCATAATCCCTTCTCCAGAAAGGCAGGCACACATTGAAAAATATTTGTGAGTTTCGGCAATGTACTAAAATGACAGAGTAACATTTTACTTTACGACACTCCATTGTCTGTAGCTTTTTCTAAATCGTTTAACAGTTGGGGTAAATCTGTATTCGGCGTGACACACGGAGTGGAGCTCAAAACACCGGACCGGCACCTTGTGTTTTCCTGAATAAGTCTTTGTAGAAAATCCTTTCCCATGGGATAAGGGATACAACTCTTAACGCAACTGCACGGGATTAGAAAGAGTCTGGGTGAACCAAGAGAAGCTGAGGACAAGCCTCCGTCCTTCAAGTCACTCCTTTAACACGCAGCGGACAGGTGAGACGGGGGTCAAGGCCAGGGACGACAGCGCTGGGCCTGACCACCCAGAGCGCGTGGGAGCTGAGAGGAGAGGCGTCACTAACGGAGGGAAACGGCCCCAATTCGAGCGGCCTCGCGACCCCCCGAGCTGGTGACGGCCTCCGAAGACGTGTGGGAGGCGCCGGGGCAGAGCTCCCGAAAAGAAAAGGAACCGCAGGCCACTTTCACCTCCAACTCTCGCCACAGCAACACCTTCAGCAGACAGCCCTCCGTTCCGAAGAAGCCGGCGCAAGATGGCGGCGCGTCACGTGCGCAACGCGGTGACGTCGGACGGCGGCCCGCACGGAGGGACCGCCTCCACCTCAGCCCCCACGCTCACTGACTCAGTTTTGCCCCCCTTCCCTCCCCCGCCCCCGGCCTGGTGTAGATCATGCCGCTAGTGGCGGCCCTGACTGCCGAGGAAACGGCAGCCTAGGACAGTTGGCTGTTGAGTGACACAGATTCTCCCCGCCCCGCCTGACCCCTGAGAAAGAGGCACGTCCCCCGCCGCGTGTGGGGGTGGGGAAGTGGATAGTGAATTCGGATCCACCTGGGAGGGGGGAGTGGAGGTTCCCGCCCCGGACAGCGGCTAGGCGGCAGCCACAGGTAAGCGGGAGGCGGGGGTGGGGACGTGCCCCCGTATCCCCTGACAGGGGGCGGGCGCGGGGGCGCGGCGCCGGCGGGGACGCCGAGCCGGGTCGCGCGCCGGGTGGGGGTCGCGCGCGGGCGGCGGCGGGGGGGAGGGGCGCGGCGGGCGCGCGGGGGGAGGGGGAGGGGCTGCCCGCTGCCCCGGCTGCGCGCGCTTCCGGTTCTCGCGCCGCGGCCCCGCGGTGTCCCTTCAGTCGTCGTCTCCTCCCCCCTCCCGCCCCGCAATCAGATTAAAACCGGAGCCCTCCGGCCGCGGGCTGGTTTTCGCCTCTGAAGCCGCCCCTCCGCGGCCCAAGGCGAGCGCCCTCCGTCGAAGGTCTCGGGGTTGGGGCGGGAAGCCGCGGGGAGGGCGGCGTGGCCTTGGCCTCCGCGCCTAGTCCGCCGAGCGGGGCCCGAGACCAGCTCTCTCCCCAGGGAGCCCACCGAGCGCACCGGGCGTCCTGGGGTGCCAGGCCCGGGCCGCCTCGCCGGGGAGGGCGGAACGGCCCTTACCCCCATGGCGCTTACAGTCGAGACAGACGGCAAACGAGTCGCACAGACACACGAAGCGGTTGTGGGGAGGTGCAGCCGAGGAGCGAGGAAGGCGAGTGGGGAATGGCCGCAGCCCGTCTGTCTGTCTCTGGACACACGGTCCAACCGAGGACACTTTCCCTTTGCTTTTCTCCCGTGTCGTAAAACTAAGCATGGTGTTTCACAGCGGCAGCTAGGCCGTGAAGCTCGCGGCTCAATCAACTTAAAATTATTGTAGATGCCAAATGGTGGCTGGTCGTTGGTGAACTTTTGAGGAGCAATGGGCTAAGGGTAGTCGTTGAGAGCGTTTACGCTTCTGAGGCTTTTTCAGCATAGATCTGGCAAGCATCTTTGTCGACTGGCCTTGTTTGTGATAAGAGTTTGTACACTATGTTTGTTTATGTTTGCAAAATGCATTTTGAGAATTTTGTTACCAACAGAAATAAGCAGTTTTACTAAAATGCTGTGTTTCCTATAGACTTTAGAATGTGCCGTTAGACTGTTGTCCTGAAGCTGAATGTGTTAGCTCTGTTACTGGGAGCTGTTTGAGGTTCTGTTTGGTCTGTGATAGGTCTGCTGCATCACCAGTAGATGGCAGCCCCTTCTAAAAATGCTTTTTTTTCCACAGGTCATCCCGTGTATTTGTAATGAATTTCCAGCTCTAAAGTAGGGTGTTTTCTTGTGCTTGAATTGCCCTGTTTCTAAAACTGGGTTGAAGTAATTCTCTAAAGATATTTCTTTAACCTTTATTTCTATCAGTTTTAAGTAGGTAAACCCAATAAATACATTGATTTATCCCGCAATAATAAATGTGCAAGGTCTTAGTGCTGTATTGGGAACAGGATGTGGTCTTGGACTCCCTAGAGCTTGCATTCTGGTGGGGGAGACAGAAAACAAGCCCTTGCAATCTGTGCTAAGTGCCATGAGAAGAGGGTAGCGTGCTGGGGGGATACAGCCTGGGCTCCTAGACCTGTCAAGGGGAGACGTGACAGTCTGCCTGGAAGAATAACTTGTAGGAATAGGCCACATGAAGAGAAGGAGTAGTGTTTCTGGCAGACGGAATAGTGTATTCCGTGAAAGCCTGCAGGTGAGAGAAAGCAAGGCAAGCACATTTGAAGATTTGAAAGAAATTCGGTATGACTAATCGGAGCTGTTTTGAGGGGAGATCTGAGTTCACTTGTGGAAATGTTGAACAAGAGACTCCTTGCCCTCAATCTTATCATAGTTCCACATCCTCTACGAGGAAACTAAGACCCTTTTCATTCATCAGATGACAATACTATACAGTCTTTATTGAATTTTGGCTATTTACCGTGTGTGTGAGGGTCTCTGCTGGGCACAGAGCGTGCATTCACATGATACAGGCCCTGCCCTTAGGCTCCTTAAGACTCGGGGAAGCAGACATGCCAGTAAACACAGTTCAGAGTGTTAAGTAACCTGGTTAGAAATCTCTGCAAGGCACAGTGGAAGCATGAAGGAAGGAAGGACCTGGAGCAGTGGGGACATAGTTTGGGATGAAACTTGAATGTAGGAGTTAATGAGGTGGAAAATGTGGAAATGTGAGGGTGTTCCTGGAAGAGGGGCAGTGTGGAATAAAAGAACATGGACTTTGGGTTAAAACAGTCTGGCCTCAGGTCTTGCATTCACATCTTACTGTGAAATCCACAGTAAATGACAATTTCTTTGAGCCTCAATTTACACACCTCTAAATTAGAGAATCCAGGAGATGGTAGATAAAAAAGCTTAGATTAGTGCCTAGCATATAATTTTCCTTTCTTCAGAAGTTTTCTTAAAGTGGCATGCCTTTACTTACATTCTCAGTATGTCAGCAAGATCACAGCCTGCTGGGATTTCTCAGCTCCCCAAATTCATTTCCATTGAATTCACTTCCATTTTGAAGCTGCGTTTCACTGCCCCTTTGTGATTCTGCCAGACTTGGGGTGTCTCATGTTAAGTTTCCAGCTCTGCCTGGGGCTTACTTTATTTTTACAGAAAATGCCTTTGTACACGTAAAATTTATCCTGTGTTGAGCAACTTTTATCATTGTTAATCTTAACCTAAGTTTTACAAATGATAGCTAAAAAAAGTGAGCAGATAAAGGTTATACTCATAACGTCATTAAAAAATACAGAGTGTATGTATTGTTGTTTATAATGAGATGAAACTGTTAAGGCTATTTTCATTTTGGGAAAAAGCTGAGTAGTTGATTACTCTTTTAAAAAATCCTAGAAAATAGGTTATCTTCTTTTCCATAGAAAATGTGGTCGTAATAATTGTCCAAAATGTTGTTTGTTGACTGTGGCAGCTTTTACTAGGAAATGTGTGTTGTTTTGTTGATCATGGTAGTTTCCATTAGATGTAGAATTTCCTAATGATATTGTTATGGGGGGAAAAATCGGTGAGTCACAGTGAAATAGACAAGTATCATTTCCAGTAATTTAACAACATTTAAAAAATCTTTTATAGTTTCTTTCAGTGATTTAGTACTACATCTTTTTTTCTTTTCTCTGTATTCTAACTTATGTCTTCTGAAATGTAGTGTTTAAAAGGCCTTTTCACTGGAGATAGGATGTAGAAAATATGTAATTCCATCTTTGATGCTGTGTGTTTAGTCTGTGGGATTACACTTGTATCAGTGTAGATTAAAAATCGCTGCACTCTTCCTGAAGAAAGGAGTATATGTATGCTTAAAAGTAGCTGAAGAAAGAAAGGAAACACTAGATGAATTTGTCAAAATTAAAAGTTTTTAAATAATTATGGTTGAGTCATATTGGAAAAATATTTGTATCAACATGATAGAAATAAAATTTGTATGAAGAAATAATATAGGCTAATAAGAAAAACACTAAGTTCTGGTAGACGGATGGACAAATAATATGAAGAGATAGCTCACACAACTAATGGAGATTTAAAGAAATATAAAACAATGTACCATTTTTCACCTATTGCGTTAATAATGACTTTTTAAAAGATTCCCATTGCTGCCTTATGTGCTTCTGATGAGCTATAATTCTTTCAGAAAACTTTAAATATTTTAATTTTAATTACAGAAAAAGCTTTACGTACCAAAGATATTAATCACAGTATTATTTTGTTTGGTAAAAAAAAAATACAAATTATGTACATTCACTGGGTGGAATATTATGTAGCTTTTAAATATGTTTCTATTTAAAATGTAGAAAATATTTGTGATAAATGGAAACGGGATACAAAATGTGAGGATACAAAATTGTACATACAGTATGTTTATGACTTTTTAAAAGTTATGGAAAGATAAGACTGAAAAGAAATTAGACAACATTGTAATTAAGATTTTGTCATCCTTTTTTCTTTCTGTTGTATGTTTTTCATGTTAGGAAAAAAAGGCTAGTGACATATTTAGAGGGGAAAAAAGACACTTCGTGTTTGAGGTGATTTTATACCTTTTCTCAATGACTAAAAACAATAGCTTCGATACAGATGTTAAGAATGAATTTCTTCTGATCTCAAAAAAAAGGAAGAAGAAAGAATATGTAGGCCTAAACTTCACAGTTATTAAGTCAGTCCTGCTAAGAGCCAGTACCTAGTTGCCCTCTCTCTCTCTTTAAAAAAAAAATGTTAGGGGCAGGCCCTGTGGCCAAGTGGTTAAGTTCGTGCACTCCGCTGTGGCAGCCCAGGGTTTTGCTGGTTTGGATCCTGGGTACGGATATGGTGCCGCTCATCAGGCCACGCTGAGGCGATGTCCCATGTGCCACAACTGGAAGGACCCACAACTGGAATATGGACCTATGTACTGGGGGGATTTGGGGAGAAAAAGCAGAAAGAAAAAAAAAAAAGATTGGCAACAGTTGTTAACTCAGGTGCCAATCTTAAAAAAAGAAAAAAAAGATGTGGTAAAATACATATAACATAAAATTTACTATCTTAACTTTTTTTTTTTTTTTTTTAGAAAGATTAACCCTGAGCTAACATCTGCCACCAATCCTCCTCTCTTTTCTGAGGAAGACTGGCCCTGAGCTACCATCCATGCCCATCTTCCTCTATTTTATATGTGGGATGCACCCTCACAGCATGCCTTGCCAAGCAGTGTGTAGGTCTGCACCCAGGATCCAAACCAGCGAACCCTGGGCCACCAAAGTGGAACTTGCGAACTTAACCGCTGCGCCACCAGACCAGCCCCTATCTTAACCATTTTTAAGTATACAGTTCAGTAGTGTTAAGTACATCACATTGTTGTGCAACCAATCTGTAGAACTTTTTCATGCCCATTAAACAAGAACTCCTCATTTTCCCCTTCTTCCAGCCATTGCAACCACCATTCTACCTTCTCTAGGTACCTTATATAAGTGAAATCATACAGTATTTGTCTTTTTGTAACTGGCTTATTTCATTTAGCAGATTGTCTTCAGGGTTCATCCATGTTGTAGCATGTGTCACAATTTCCTTCCTTTTTCCAGCTGAATAATATTCCATTGTATGTATATGTTATATTTTGTTTATTCATTCATCCATCGATGAACATTTGGATTGCTTCTGCCTTTTGTCTGTTGTAAATGCTGCTGCTATGCACATGGGTGTACAAATATCTCCTGAAGACCCTGCTTTCAGTTCTTTTGGATATATACCCAGAAGTGGGATTGCTGGATCATATAGTAATTCTATCTTTAGTTTTTTGAGCAACACCATACTATTTTCCATAGCAGCTGCACTATTTTACATTCCCAGTCATGGCGCACAAATGTTTCAATTTCTCCTCACCAACTCTTATTTTCTGCTTTTTTAATATTAGCCATCCTAATGGATGTGAGGCGATAATCTCATTGTAGTTTTGATTTCATATCCCTCATGATTAGTGATACTGAGCAAACATATCTTGCCATATGTTTGCTGGCCAGCCCTCTCTTTTTTTATGTCTCTGCACATAACCATGAAAACCTTAAATTCTACCCAAATCCTTTATGAGTTTTTCTAAGTGATTCTCCTCCCATTTAACATATTCCGTCTCTCGTAACCCATTTATTCTCATTCTTACCCAGCCTACATGTCTTGCAGTTGATTATCTAGATGATGTACATCTTTAGAACCTCCTTAGGTGTAGTTTTATTTATTTATCTATTTACCTATTCATTCAGTCATTCACTTATTTATTTTGCTCAACTTTTACTCAGTAAATTCTCTGTATAAAGCTATAAGGGCATAGAGCCGGCCCCGTGGCCGAGCAGTTAAGTTCACATGGTCTGCTTCGGTGGCCTAGGGTTTCATTGGTTTGGATCCTGGGTGCGTACCTAGCACCGCTCATCAAGCCATGTTGACGCAGCGTCCCACATAGTAGAACTAGAAGTACCTACAACTAGAATATACAGCTATGTAGCAGGGGGCTTTGGAGAAAAGAAGGGCAAAAAAAAGGCCACAGATATTAGCTTGCGACCAGTCTTTAGGGGAAGAAGAGAAAACTATATGGGCAATCAGAAACTATTCCCTAGACTGGAGAAAGGAATGCTTGTGTCCATGGGCAGGAAGATAATCATCATACTTCTTGAGTAGGATAACATTTGAAAATTTAGTCACAATAATTTATGTACGTGTTTGCCATTTTTTAAACTTAAGCATGATCATGTAGATCAGAATTCAAAAAATTTAAAAGACTACACTAGGAAAAGGTTCTTTTCCTGTACCATAGTTACCAATTTTCTTCCATGGAGGCAACCAAGTTATCAATTTTTACACACCTCTGCAGTATACTGCACATATTTTCTTGCACTTTTTATTTGCCATTTTTTAAGATCTTATAGTTAGATCGCTATGCACCCAGAACTGAGTTGTGGGAACATACTGAGCATGGATAAATTGAGCTCAGCCCATAGTATAGAAAAGCTATGTCTTGTTCCTCTGAAAATGTGTGCATGTTAAGAAAAGAAATGTCTTAAGATTTCTTGAAAATGAAATTAGAAAGCATCTTTTAACTGACTTTTTTTCCCTTATAGTTGATTATGGAAGATTCCCACAAGAGTAACACTTCAGAGACAGCACCTCAACCTGGTTCAACAGTTCAGGGAGCTCATATTTCTCATATTGCTCAACAGGTAAGGCAAGGCTCAGCCGAAATATTGAGCCAGTTAGTAATATTTTGTATGCAGAATAATCTGTCGTTTCAGATCTCTAATTACAGATGTTTAAAAAAAGAACCAATTGGGCCAGCTCTCGTGGCTTAGTGGTTAATTTCAGCATGCTCCGCTTTGGTGGCCTAGGTTTGGTTCCCAGGCGTGGACCTACACCACCCTGTTGTTAGTGGCCATGCTGTGCTGGCAGCCTACACATTAAAAAATAGAGGAAGATTGACACAGATGTTAGCTCAGCAAGAAAATAAAAAAAGAAAAAAACCCATAAAATGTTGAAATGTATGGAAGGAAGAAGGTAGATTTCATTTAAATATCTTGTCAAGATCATTTGGTTTTATTTTCTTTAATACAGAGTATATTTAGTGTTGTTTTATTATGTATATACTTCTCAAAACTTGGAGAAGTAGATTTCATTTTATGTGGTACATGATTATGTAGATTTTTTTTTTCAGAATAATTTTGCTGCTGCATAAGAAAAATGAAAACTTATTTGGTTCTTTGAACTAACTTGAAACAGAGACTAATAGTTTCAGGAGGTAAACCATCTTCAGTCGATTTATTGTGGATATATGAGAAATATTTTTGCTGAACTAGAAAACAGGCATATTATTAGAGAATTTAAATTGACAGGCATACATATTGCAGAACTGATGATATTTTTTAATTTCAAATTGTCTGGTTCATGCACCTGATCCACTTGAAGGAAAACAACTGAGAGTATTTGTTGCCAGTGATAAGATTTGAACTTTTGAGCAAAAATTAGAATTTTGGAAAACTTGTATTCACCATTATGAACTTGACAGCTTCCCAGTAGTTTCAGACCTTAGTTACAAAATTGTGTTATAAAATCATGCATTGGTATAAGATCCATTCAGAGTGCAAGACAGACCAATGGATTTTCATGTTAACAGAATACATTAAGTTCAGATTGTACATTGCAAACCACCTTTAAGAAACTATAACCTGTTGAGTTTTGATGTGGTATCAAGGAAGAATATCCACAATCATCTGGAAAGACTATTAAAACACTCTTCCCTTTTCTAACTACATATCAGTTTGAGGCCAGACTTTTTTTCTCATACTTCAACCAAAACAACATGTGGCAACATGGTTAATGTAGAAGCAGATAAGAGAATTCAGCCAGTAAGAAGAACTCAAACATTAAGGAGCTTTGCAGAAATGTAAAACAGTACCATTTCTCTCACTAATTTTTGGGGGGAATTAGTTAATGGAAATATATTATTATGTTATTAACATGTAATAGATTTGTTATTAATTTATTATTAAAAATGGATTGTTATTTTTAAATGAATTATTAAATATTTTTTAAATTTCTATTTTAATTTTAAATGTAAGTATTAGTATTAAAAACCCATATAAATAAAAGTTCTTTGGGGTCTTCAATAATTTTTAAGTGTAAAAAGGTCTTGAGACCAAAAAGTTTGAGAACCAGGGACCTAAAGGGTTAATCCTTCAAGCTTGATGCATTCTTCTCTATTCTTTGGCTATCTCTGTGAAGAATAATGGTATCTTCTCCAGGTGGTGCTGGAAAAATCATGATGGAGTGTTTTAGTTACCTTTCTGTTAATAACTTCCTTCACAGAAATGTTTTAATTCAGTTGGCTTAGTTATATATTTCAGTTATTTTGGTTAGATGTGTATGTTTTCACAGTTTCCTCAGAAGCATATTTACAGTAAGGTAGAATAAGTGCGTTTCTAGGTGGTAAATAACTTTATAGTCATTTTTAAAGATAACATCACTAACTTTATATCCAAATTCTTGTGGCTTGACTACTTGATTAGACTCTAAATTCTGTAAAGGAGAGAGTATCTAATACAATAATATTTATTCAGTCATTTGGTATAAGCTGGGGATATAGCAATAAACAAAAGACTCTCTCATGGAACTTGCTTTCTAGTTTTGGGAAGACAGGCAATAAAACAGATGTGAGTTGGTAATATGTGCTGTGGAGGCTGATAAAGCTGGGTAGGAGGGATAGGGCTTCGTTGGTGGGCATGGGAGGACTTGCCTTTTTATGTAGGGTGGTCAGAGAAGTCCTGTCTGTGGAGATACCTCTTCAGTGATGTGGATGAGGAGTTGTAAAACTCTGAGACTCACATGTGCTTGGCATGGTTAAGGAGGAGCCGGGAGGCCAGTGTGGTCGGAGAGGGATGAATGAGGGGAGTGATACAAGATGAGGCAGAGAGGTTTGGGCTGGGAGGGGAGTGCCTGATAATGTCGGCCTGTATGCCACTCTTAAGATTTTTGGCTTTTAATCTGTGAAAGATGGGGAACCTCTGGAGTGTTTTGAGTAAAAAATATTATCTGACTGATATTTTAATAGGATCACTCTGGTTGCTCTGTGGAGTGGAAGCAGGAAAATCAGTTAGGAGGCTCTTACAGTAACATGCATGAGAGACGCCAGTGGCTTGGACCAAGTTGGTAGCAGTGGTGGTGGTGAGATAAAATTAGATTCTGGATAGAACTTGGTTGTAAAGTCAACAGTGTTTGCTTTTGGATTGGATGTGGGTTTTAGAGAAAAAGAGGAGTCTCAAGATTGACTCTACAGTTTTTGGCTTGAATAACTATAAGAATGGAGTTGCCATTTATTGAATGGACAACACTGGAGCATGTTTTTCTTTTCTTTTTGGGGGGATGTTAGCGATCAGGAAATTGGCTTTTAGGTATATTAAGTTTGTGATACTATCTGTATTCATTTTCTGTGCTGCAAAATGAATTACCACAAATTTAGTGACTTAAACGGCACACATTAATTATCTCACAGTTTCTCTGGGATCAGGCACTTCTTAGCTGGGTTCTCTGCTGCAGTTTCACCAAACTGCAATCAAGATATTGGTTAGGGCTGGGTTCTTACCTGGAGGCTAGACTGGAGAAGAATCCACTTCCAGGCTCCCTCAGGTTGTTGGCAGAATTCATTTTGTTGCAGCTGTAAGACTGAGAGCTTCAGTTTTTTGTTGGCCGGAGGCCACTCTCAGCTCTTAGAGGTTGCCTGCAATTCTCTGCCAAGTGGCCCTTTCCATAAGCAGTTTACAACACGGCCGTCCAGCAAGAGAATAAGAATGAGTCTACTAGCAGGATGTAGTCTCATATAACATAATGAAGGGAACGATATCCCATTCCTTTGCCATAAAACGTAACATAATCACAGGAATGACATCCCATCATCTTTGCCTTATTCTTTTGGTTAGAAGCAAGTCACAGGTCCCTCCGATATTCAAGGGGAGAGGATTACATAAAGGGGTGAATACCAGGAGGTGGGGCTCATGGGGGCCACCTTAGAGTTTGTTTGCCAAACCAAACAAGTAGATTTGTCCAGTAGGCAGTTGCATATTTTTGGTCTAGAGTCCAGGGGAGAGGCCCAGACTAGAAATGTAAATTTAGTTGTTGTGGTTATTTGGGTGGTATTTAAACTCATGGGGTGATTTCTAGCTTCCATTTAGGATGTGGAAAGCTGGAAAGGGTATTGCTCCCACCCTAGAACAAGAATAAGCTGTAATATACTAAATTGTAAATTCTGTCAAACCGACAGAGGTGGGATGTGGGCATGGCTCACCTGTAGCAGAGCACAGGAAGAAGGCAAAGCTGTCGTATAGGGGGAAAGAAGAATTTAGCTAAATTTTTAATGAATTGCCAAAGTCTAAGTGTAAGCTAGTGTGAGAATATAGAACCCTTGGGAGCTACAGACATAAGGGTAACACCCACTTGTAGGTTTTTCTCCAAGGACCTCCAATAGTTGCTCATGAGAAAGATTGGGGAAAGCAAGGAAGACCAGGGAAACCCTTGCTCTGATGAGGAAGATTGGCCCTGAGCTAACATCTGTAGCAGTCTTCCTCTATTTTGTATGTGGGATGCTACCACAGCATGGTGTGTAGGTCCGTATTATTACTTTTTAAGATGGGAGGAATTAACAGCCTATTTGTATACCAATGGGAATGATGTAATAAAAGGGGAAAATTTGATGATACAGGTGAGAGAGGACAATCCTGGGATGATGTCCTTGAGGAGGGAAGTGGATGAGAGTTAGTCTACAAGTGGAAAAATTTATTTTGTATTTGCACAGGTATATCATTCATAATAAGAAAGAAAATACTTACAAGTTAGGTGGGTAGAGTGGGGATGAGATACTCTGACATGTTTCTTTTGGTAACTTCTTTGTTTTTCAGTGAAATAAAATGCTTTGAGAAGATAGAGAGGAAGGAAAAAGTATGAAATAGTCTGCTAGGACAACAGGTGATGTAAGTGGACTGGGGATATGTGGTAGGATCGCCGGAGAGCATTAACAGTCCCCTTGAGGCTGCTGATCATGAATTTAAAGTGAGACTGTTAAGGTTAATTGTGTGTTGTTCTCCAGTCAGATTCAGGTACGTGCAAGAAGGTTACGGGCATAGAGTACGTGAGTTAACAGGGTTGCTGTTTAGTCAAGGGACTGCAGTGAAGGAAGAAAAGGACATTGAAGGTGGATGCAATACAGTGATTATGGTGCTGCACCACAAAGTTTAAACTGTATAAGGAAGAAAGTGGGGACTTCATGGGGTCAAGAGCAAGGGAAAGATAGTAGGCTCGATGGATTATAGGTTCCTGGGGAGTCCCAGAATTGTTGAGAGTCCAAATAGTAGAGGTAGTGAGTTGGGGAAGTAGGTGCTACTCAGAGAGATACTTGAATTTGAGATTATGGGGGGATGCAGTTATTGGTAATTATAAGATTTAAGTAAGTGGTTCCCAACTGGAGTGATACTGCTTCCCCACTGAGATGTCTGGAAATATGTGTGTGGGCGGGGTTGCCACTCGCATTTATTGGGCAGGGATCAGAGATGCCAAATGTTTGGCATTGAAGAGGATATTTCTGCACAAGGAAGAATTGTCTTGCCCACAGTGCCTGTCTAGGGTCTGACAATGGGAGTGGATGGCTGAGGAGGCTGGAAGCCATGGCTTTGGAGGAGAG